ACTCACCTTTATTTTATTTACAGTAGTAAGCATAGATTCCCATACAACTGACGACAATGCAGGATCTGTTTCATCAAGACTATTTATAATACTTGTTACAGTTCTTTTCTTTTCATTTTGTAATATCATATTAGCATTCTCAATCATTGACGTTAATACAGTAAAAAAAGCTGTTTTGATTGGAATTGCATCAGTTTTAATTAAATTCCAAAATTTGTTGCTGCTTATAATTTTATTATGAACCTCAATCATTTTTTCAACCTCTTGGATAGGAACTTTCTTTAAATAAACACTATATCCATGTAAACTGGATGTCAGTATTCTCTGATGTTTCGCTTCTATGTCTTTCGCTGTGAAATCCCTAATAATATCACAACAATAGATATCATTAACGTAACAATTATATCTTTTTATTTTCTTTAGTAAAAATATAACAAACATACTTCTGTGACAAAAATAGAGCACTACGAGCTGTTACATTGTCACAAATATAATTCAGGATTTCGTGCTGACAATACACAATAGCATTAATAATTTTTTTTTGTGGAAACGTATCCTATATATGTAAAATATATTCATGTTGAAATAGATTATAAATAAATTAGTAAATTATAGTTATTAATAAATAGTTATTAATAAATTATATATATTTACATTGAATGAATTAGTAGCAATCGACGCAGCAGGAGGATACGTATCATATTGCGAAACGAACCAAACTCCAGCTAATTGTTTCAAATATATTGCAATACCTTTGCCTACACGTTTTACGACAGCTGCATGCGCCAACTGTGCAGCTTCTCTCACTCTATGTTCCGTATCTATTGCTAAAACACAATATAACCGTGGCCAGAATGGTAATATTCCTTCCACAATTGATATTTCTGAATCTCTACACAAAATAGCAAATTCTTGCAATGCCTATAAAATATTTAAAAAAAGACTTTTAGTCTAAATATTATTTCTATAAATGATAAAAGTAATTATTCGTTACCTTATATTTGGTTGTCGAATCTTTTTTATTCATCTTTTTCAATATTATTTGAACATTACCATCAACATTGTTCATTTCAACTTCATTCGTATCACAAAATGTTAAACCTGGTAACACAGGTACACATTCCCCGTCCTTCACCGCTGAGAAACCAACAAAATTCACCATCGAAGTACCCAAAAATTCTGCACTTCTGCTACTATTTGACGGCTAATATAAATAATAATAATATTTAGACACTTGTAATAATTAAACAATTAAACGTTTTCATCGATAGATCGTATCTCAAACAAATTTTGATAAAACAATTAAAATAAAATAATCATTTAAAGAAAATATGACTTTATAAAATTGTCGTTACCATGTAATCTCTTTATGAAAATATCATGATTATAATTTTAGATCAAAAAATATTGTTACAACTACATGAAAAATTTTTATGCAAATTCATATTTTTATAAACAAAATTTTAAAAAAAGAAAAAAAATACAAAGCAAATACAAAATTGTTGTCTCAGCTAATTATCATACAAAGTATCGCATTTTATTTTATCAAATATTTTATATTTTTTTACATTTTTCCATCTTGAGATTTCTTACAAATACATAAAAATTCGTAATCTAGTTGTAACAAATTTAATTTATAAATTTCTTATAAAAATTAATTTCTTCATTGATATAAATTTTTTGCTTACTCTTGCATTATTTTTGGTTCGTCGCGCTTGTTTGTTCTTTCCCATGATTACTACAGTAGCAAACAAGACATTACGGGTACAAGAAATATACTACGTGTAAATTTTGGTCACTACGTGTAAATTTTCACACCAAAATTACCGAGTTCAAAGTTATCAGAGAATCGAACACGGAGACAACCAAGCAGCGTTATTAAAAATGGAGACAATAGGATCAGTATTGTCAAATCTGAAATCCATTGCAGCGTTGTCAATTTTCAATACTGAAACGTGAAGTTAATAAAACGTGAGATACGTATGTATATCAAAAAGAGCTCTATCGTAATTTACGAATCCACAATAGATCTCTGCACGCATTCAGTACCATTGATTAAGAATAAGAGAGTGTCAGGCACGAAACGTGGGACACCAAAAAGCATCGAGTGTCCGGTCTATCTTATTCTTAGTCAATGGAAGTACATTAAAATTCTGTAGTTATTAATATATGATTTTTAATATAAATGATCACAAAGTATAAATCATTTAATACAAATGATGATGTACTTCGTAAAACATTTTTAAAAACAACCAACTAAATTTCCAATTATTTCTTAAAATTTTCTTTTTTTATTTTATCTAGGTTTAATTACAAGTCAGTTGATTATGATTCGTCGTTACAAAATACAATTTCTTCATTTACTTAAATAGTATTAAATTATTAACAACTTTATTATAATAATGCAATGCGGATACAATTTAGATGCAATTTGGATATAACAAATAACGTGAATTATATTAGTCATTAAATTACGCTTTTTTACCACAGCATAATTAAAATATAATTGAAATTTTTTCTATAAATTACCTTTATCTTTCAATTCAACTTTATCCACCTTTATCCATTTTTTATAAATTATCTTTACTCGTTTAATATAAATCATCATTCAATGAAAATTTAATGAAAAATAGAACTATATGTTTTTATCTCGCAAAATTAATCAATGAAAAGAATGTTTTTGCAAATTTGTTGCAAAAAGGCATATGGTAAATCATATTTTTGCAGGTCGAACGATGCAGGAAAATTAGTTTTTTTTCAAATAAAACTTTATATCTAAAATTATACTTGTTAAAATTATACTTTATCTTTTCAAATAAAACTATATATCTAAAATTTTCACAGTACGATGGCATTTATCGAGACGAACTCACGCAGAATGAGTCATTGTTCAATTCCGCGTAATAGAATAACACTACAATTTCGAAGTTTTTTTCAACGTTGCAACCGTGATCGTATACAAAATCTTCAGTCGACTCGATGGAAAGGACTCAAGCTTCTTCTCAGCATGTCTTTTTATATTTTTGGTTATCACGATCAAAGGGAAAGGGAAAGGGAAAGGGAAAGGAGCATAGACGACCAACTACCGAATATTGCCATTGTGATTAACTATTTGCAGGTCACTTTTAGAAAGATTATTATCGACTTAGCGTTAGCATCGAGTCAATATCGTCAGGCCGGATTGGTCATCCAACATCATTTATTATTGAAAAATATCAGAAATTGCGTTATAAATTAGTCGATTAAATCTAAATTTTTAAATCAAGTCCGACGGCTGTAATAATAAAACGACGTGTACTAAATTGAAATCCAGATCTCTTTCATGTGAAATAAAAAACTTGAATTATCAACTACGGGAAATAAACACAAACGGATAAACATTCAATACAAATAAAAAAAGCAAGTATTCAAGACATATTTGCCAAAGTGCATTGTAAAAGAATTTTACGACGCGTTTGCCATATTTCTAGTACCATTAACTAACTAGCATAACACTAAACATCATTGATCAATAGTCAATACGGATTGCTTACTTTGGTCCTTCTCTTCATCGCTTTGTTCCGTATTCAGCTTCCGTTTACAAAAATTGCATACCTTTTTATTTCATTCCTTCAGTTTCTTCGATCGAGTATTCTCGATTCATTGTCGTGTCATACGCCCTATAACCAGGAGCAATGAAGCTCACTATTTTCCAAAATTCCCCAAGAACTGCGATAACGACTTGTATAAATATGATCCAAAAAATAAAGGCAGTCAGTTTTTAAACTTCAAACTCGTGTCTTCATTCCGTTCGATCTAGAGTTAAGCCTAGTTACATCGCTACCTACATTCAGGAACATTGTAACACGTCGATAATTTTCTATTATTTTAATATTATTGCGTTTAATTTTTTTGGAATTTGACCGGACTTCCACCGTGATAGTTGCACGTACCAAAGTTCAATGTTGCATACACCGTGTAGTTTCGAACGCTTGGTCCAGTGTTTCTAATTGTCGACCGAAGAATATCGTACAATAAGATTTCAAGCTCAACATCGGAAAATTTGAATCACCTCTTCGTATAATTTTCCTTTTGCATAATTTCTTTAACGTCGATGTAAGTTTGGAGCCTTCTTTTAGAATTTATAATATCGAGCAGCTCGTTGTGAATTTAAAAAAAAACCGACGTATAAAGTCATTCGTGGGTTTGTCTAGTCTTTATTTACATGAGTTTTCTTTGATTTTTAGCGACGAGATATCGCTCCTCCTGTAAAAAAAGCGATTTTTCTCTATCAGTTTCGAAATTGTGATTATCGAGTTTAATCGAATTGCCAGACTAAAGCGTGTAATTTTTGCGATATAATAACCGATAGAAACAATGGATACCGATATGAATGAGATTTTAACGGGGGTTGATAAAAATTTCATTATTCATTCCATCGAAGCCCAAATCAACGATAAACATTGTACGTATTTTTCTATCGTAGCTATAGATTATAGATTACAGTAGACTAGTACAGTGTCATGGGAAATCCTGTTGTATGCGAATAATATAATATACATTTGGATTATTGAGATACCAATTTTTATTTTTTATGTTTTCTACTTTTCTTATTATTAACGTATATAACAAAATTTTTTTTAATCCATAACAATTTAACTCGTTGTATCAAGAGTGGCCGCGTCAAAAATAAAACAATTATGAAACAGAAAAGTCGGTTACGATGAAAGAAATAGCGTAACGTTCAATTAAAGTAGATCTAATTTTTAAATGTGGCAAACACATTCTGTATTTTATTATTTAGCGCGTTGCACGAGGATCGCGTTATATGAAAACAGTAATCGCAATACTTCTGGCGCGTTACAGCAATTCGCGTTATAGAAACTCGTTATACGGATGTCTACTGTATATTCTTTTGTTTCAAAAAATTGGACGTACGTTAGTACGAAATATCTGTTTGGCGTCTTATACCACTTACATTATTCTATTACACATTTAGACTAATTTTTCGGCTATCATATTCATTTCAGTTCGAGATCTAGGGCGTATTCCATCGACGCTCTGTCTTTGTCATTACAAGCGAACGTTATCAAGTTTATGTCGAAATTTTCATATTGCAATGGTTCTCCCTTTCTGATCAGATTAATTTTCGAGATGTCTCCTTCCAAAATCTTTTTCACTTACAAATATGGCAAATCCGTTGTGAACTCACTCGTTATTTGCTTAATTTGTGAAATTTTTTCCCATGCCGGTTCCAAGTGCCTTCTGGTTCAACGAAAGGTTGCTCAATTATATAAAGTTTTACCATCAGTTTCTATATCTAAAAAAGATTTGCAATTGATCACAACATTAATTCCTCGGATAGAATACAAACTAGTCTAGTCATCGAGAAATTTTTGCGATTGAATTTAAGAAACTTGACAAAAGAAAGACTCTCGACATAATTCACGCTATTGCATTCTTCGGCTTCTAAAGCCGAGATCAGAAAGTAACAATAAATTATCCTCTTTAACAGAATCCAGAATTTCTGCGATGAAAAGTAAGACAATTAATAATTTACAGAACTATTAATTTATAGAATCTGATAATCTACAGAACTACTAATCGGGTTTCCACTGAAAGTATCATTCTCAACATAAAAGAAAGGTGTGCGAAATCCAATAATTCAATCTTTAGAAATCTAAATCCATTAGCTCTGCCGGACTATCGACGTCCATCTTACTCTCTTTGATCAGTTTATCGTCGTTGACATATATTATTCGAAGAAGCGTTAATTCTCTCTTTTTTAGAAGCAACGTAAGATTCTCCGATCTGATTATCAAATTATGTCTAAAAGCTAATCGAACCACGAGCTTATGTCTAAAAGCATAAGAACAATGTTTCGTTACCAAAAGTATCGGTCACTTAATCTGTAATCCATATCTTCATTTGTACGTTATCATGTATTTTTGTATATTCCTCTCGATCTAGCATCGTTGATCTATCCCTTACCGTTACTATCAAATTACACGGTCGAGGTGTTTAAGTTTGTTCAGCGAAAAACTTGAGGTTCCTCTTTTAAAACTTGTAGTTTATTGAAAAAATTACACATTAAAAGAATTATAGTTCGATCGGATCGGACTAACCGAGAACTATATGCAATCCGATTATGCGATAACTATATTTTCCTTGACATTGACACATCTCACGCGAATGGGATTTGGGCCGCGCAAACACGGGGACGTTTAAACGTAACGTGAAACGAAACATCGATAGACGTCAGGACAAAAATTCAAACGTTTTAACAAAGAACTCTAAGATTGTGATCTCAGTATCCTGCATACAACGCCCAGTATTTTCAAAAACGTAATCACAATCTCCCGCACTCGACAATTGGCCGTAGTAAGACTGTGATTCCCGTTACCCGCAAACAATGTTTCAACAAGGATGCTAATTCTATCGGAATAGAGAGACAGAAGCTTTCGAACAATACGTCGGAATAATTTCAATAGTCGCGACAATATTCTCGGCTTGGAGATCTTGGGAGAACTTGGATCCATCTCAGTGATTCCTTCCGAAAGAAAATATATTTTCTCGAATAAATAAATTTGAGCATTGATAATTGGCTGGGAAGATTCTCATCACGGCACCATCATCCGAGCTCACTTAACTTTTCCTATATTTATAATGGAAAATAAACAAAGTATTGCCATTCATTCAGTATTGTCATCATGCAATGTGACAAACACGAACACAAAAATACCTTGAATTTGAAATGTTTTATTTATTCCCTAAATTATTTTTTATTTGTTTTTATTTGTTTATTTGTTTTTATTTGGGAATAAAAAGTTATTGCATCTTCATTGAAAAGGACTTTCCAGAAAAATAAAAAATATAAAAAAGTCGTTTAGTTGCCGACAATTGATATAAATTCATACAGTGTATCTCAAAAACATTTTTCGTATTAACCAGTTGCTTTATGATTTTCTTCTCAGTCTTCGATAAATATTAGTCGTTACAACACGTTATATCGTTTCAAATGTAAAACATTGAAAGCATTATATATAATTTGTATTTATAAATCTTCAATTTAAAGAATTAAAATTCAAAATTCAAGTTCATACTTCGTAGGAATTTGCTTTGCTTTCAAATTGAAACAATAATTCCTTTCGCGAATACAACTTGACATTATAACTCAAAAAGTTAATAAATTCTTACAAGTTTTACGATTCGCCGCTTCGTTTTCAAAATATATAAAATATAGATTGAAAATTGTCCATTTCGTTGTATAAATACGCATTCGTACACTTTTCCCTACGAAAATATACATATACGTATTACAGGCTACACCAATTGAAGCACGCGTTCAGAGACATACGCACAACGAATATCTAAATTTCATTTGTTTATCTTGCAAAAAACGTTAAAGAACTTATTTTTATACTCCGCTTCATTTTCATGTTAAAAAACGTTCAGTTTTTCATCTGCACAGTTTTTTGAAATATCTATGTGTATCAGCACGTGTACGTATTTTTAAAATAACGTGTACATGTATGAAATATTAAAAAATATATACATATAGTTAATCAGCTATATCTAACATTAATGCAAAATTATTGTTTTATCGTTTATTGTCTGTTCTTTTTTTTTTTTTTACTTAATAGTAAAAATTCGAATTTCGAAAATTCTTTATTTCTAGAAATAAAAGATGATCAAGATTTCATAACAACATATCTTAAAAATAGCAACAGAGAAAATCCAATCAAATATCTTAAATCGATATGTCAGAAATGACGGCGAGTTAGTTCTTCATAAAAATAATATTCAAAAATAGATAAAGGTATATAAGAGATAGATGAGAGATATAAAAGTATAACAGACAAAGATATTTATCACGCTTTACCAAGTTCGAATTATTTGAACTGTTCCGTCAAATTTCAAACAATATAGTTTAAACTTTGGTTTTTGAATTCCGTTACAAAATAATTGCACTGCTTATTTGTACGTTCCAATTTATATACCAATTAACGTTGAGGCTTACCGCTTGTGGCTCTTTACGTGCCTACAACTTAAGAGCTCGTATATTTTCCCGAATGATCCCTGGTGATTCGACGACTGCTCGATAGCTGAAATAATGGTCATTTAACGTTACGTCTATCTCGCGTTTTGTCAGTAGTACGAAGGTTACAATAAATTTTTGTTAATACGCTGCATATGACTGACCGCCTCGTCTTGCTCTGCCAGAGATAATTAACAAGATACTTCACGTTTAACGTAAACAAATATTTCGATAAAATGCAAATAAATACCTGACCATGGAAGAAAATTAGCGAGGGAACATCCGATCCGTAATGTGCTGAAATAAATATAGGAGTTATATATCTCGTCTTAACATATGAATTGTAATATATTATTAATTTAAATTTTAGAAATAAATTTTGACGTTACAGTTTCTATTATAATAATTTACATATCCTAAGCATTTGTTTTTAAAACTTATAATTATCTTGTAAAATAATTGGTCGATACTTTGTGTATAAAATTATCGCATACATTAAAGTACAAGTCCTTGATATGACAAACCATCCGCTTCTGGAGATTCCATTCTATTTCTCAAATGTTCCAACGTATTAGCTAAATGTTTTTGAATTTGTTCCGTTTCTTCACTAACTTCCAAGTTAGGAAGTTCTTCCTTAATTTTTGCAACGACTTGATTTACAATGTCAACAGTGAACTAAAAACGAATTATCATTGAATTATACGTATTAATAAAAATTCTCAAAAATGAATAATTCTTACCGTAGTATTGCCTTTCTCATAAAAATAAATGTAATGATTTAAGAGTTCAACGTAAAGTTGTACTTGAACCGAAGTATCCATGCACTGACTTGCTATTCTGATACCTTTCCTCAAACAGTCCAATACCTTAAATCTATTTTGCATCTAAAATAATTATATAAATTGATCATATTTTTTAATACCATCGTATCAAGCGTATCGTTATATTTATATTATTTTATATTAAAAAATATATAATATTCACCTCCTTTCCACCTGTTGCCAATGATTTTCCAGACCAAAATATATGAGAACAAGTAGCAATACCTCTACATTGATCTGGTTTTCTTAATAATTTGCTAGCATACAAAACACACTGATTACGTATCGGTTCCGCATTTTCTTCGCAAAAACAACTCATTTGTTCAAACGTAGCAACGATCAATGTAATAGCTGCCAACTGTGCTTTAGAATCGCTAATCTCATCTTCATATATTGAAAATGCTTGACTCATAAATTCATAAGCTACCATTTCAAAATTATCAAAACGAATTTCTCCTATCGCTATTGCTCCTTGAAGAAATAGCCTCAATGGTAATTCAGCCAATTCGGCCTTCATCAAAGCTGTGATAGTTGCATGACAAAATTGAAAGATTTTTTGACA